TGAGATGTCTATCCTTACAGATCTGCTTAGCGCAAACACCATTCAATGTGTGAATGAATATCCTAGGTACGTTACATATCGGTCTCTCTGCTTAGAAGTGTGCACGCAACGCATGTACTTGTACTTGTTCAATATTTTGCACAATTCCGCACTCCCTGTGGAAGGGGCAGCTTAGTCGCCAGCGAGCCTAACACAAGCCTCTCGAGTGAGAGCCCGAAGGGCAGCCCCGCAGGGTCTCTGTCTCCTCCCTTCGGGAGGTCGCGCTTCACGCGAGGTCGCTTTCGCCCCCCTTGCCTGCCAAAGGAGAGGGACTGTGTTAAGTTCGAGTCGCCAGCGCCAGTGGCGCTAGTGTCAAACGGGCATCCTATCACCACTGGGATTTGTGTGAAGTTAAGTGATTTTGTACATACAAGATTTCTGGCTCAGTGTGTAATCAAGTCACCCCCAGCCTGCCAATCAGCCTGGCATCGGCGTTGCTGGAACTGAAGTCCATCCAAGTCCATCCACCACTTACAGACCCAGGAAACCCCCTGTAGACCACAGTAACCAAAACGTCAAAATGTATACAACCACTTTGACTTAACATCACATGTGATATCTGGATAGTTGCCACATCAGGACATGTACATACTGAAGGTGAATCCAGCCCATAAACTTTTTAGTGGTAAATCCTCACCAGTGAGCCTTGAGAAGCAAAAAACTAAAAAAAAAAAAAAATCTGAAAAAAAATTCATACATTTTTTTTTGTAGTTTTTCAGTTATTAAAACTCACTGGTCGAGGTTAGCCACTAAAGAACACATGGACATGATGCACATTTAGTATGTACACGTCCTGATGTGGCAACTATCCAGATATCACATCTTATGTTCAGTCAAAGTAGTTGTGTAGGGTGAATATCCATTCATACATTTTGGTTACTGTGGTCTACAGGGGGTTTCCTGGGTCCTATCAGGAGTTGCTTGGGTGTTTCAGAATTACTCGGAACACTAACCCCCTGCTATTTACTATGTGTCACTAGTTTCCAATCTCAAAAACTCAATTTCTTTGGATCAGGCGTAAAAAATATCGCACAACACCATGGCAATTGTTTTGTGGGATCTGGTTCTCTCATGGACTTGGAGCGAGACAGATAACAAAAGAATTACAGCTTAATTTAGGCATTGCTTTTTTTAGATTCGGGCTCCTGGGGTTGGTAGAAGTCACAAAAAGAATTTGGCCAGTGATTCAACGTCAATGAGAAAAGTCGTAAAGAATAGCGCCCGATAAATATTCACGCACCACATTTGTCGAGATCAACTTCGTGGACTGCCGGCGTATATCAAGTCTGATTAGTCGAAGAAATTGTGCTCAATTCAGGATGCAAATTTTAAGTGTGGATGATCTGGTCGGGGTCAACTCACCATGCGGTTGACAGATTTTGGGGGGTTATAGGAGCACCCTGATTTTACTGAAAGACCAAGCGTTTTGTCAACTTGGTATGAATGATAAGGAACCGGCACGCTTACATTGACGTTGAAAATTACAACACCTCGATCGAAAAGAAGGTGAAAACCCTGAATGGGGATCGCAAGGATTTTTTGCTAATGAGAAGGACGCAAAGATCTAGTAAGCTTGAATTCGAGAGGCTGATGTTCAAAAATGATAATTTTGTCTCGAGGACATAAGGTCCACCAATCACTGGGTTCAAAATCCCCCAAGAATTGGGTTAGGTAGATTTAGAACAATGATCATTTGAGTTCGACAACTCCTCCACCACAACTCAACCTATTATACTTGCAAGTGAGAAATTTAGTTTTTCATTTTCTCCCTGATAAGTATGGGAAAGGAATATCTCCCTTACATCGGGGATACATTTGTAGGACAGGCTAGACAGGAGCCGCAGAGGTTAAAAACAAAGATGATAAAACTTGAGCCACAATGGCTCACCCGGGCCTATTCCCTCTGAACCGGCGCACAGATTAATAGTTCCAAGGCACAGGATAAGGTTGCAAAGCCCAAAGGTCCGCATGATGATGATTTTGGTTTTTAGGAGTTAATTGGTCAAGTGGGTAGTCAAAACCGATTCTGAGCGAAGATTTTTTAATTCTGGTGGTTGAGTGGTCCGAGTGGATGGCTTTTGTTGGCAGCTTTTATATTCAGTGGGTCGCTTGTGCCCACTGAGTTCCACTGGAGATTGATAGGTGTGGCCAATTGAATTTGTAGGCTCAAAGATTTTCGCTTGGGTCTGCGATGGCTGTGACAGTGGCAGACTACATATTGCTATGGTAAACTAACGCCTATCCCCCACGCCACCGTCTGGTAATCATATCCTCCTGCGCTTGGAATCACTTAAGGTCTGTGGCCAATTTCCATGCCACCGATGTTCCATGCCCTCATTAAACATTCAACCCACATCACGACAGAGAACGGCAGATTCGAATCATACAACTCATTCATGCGAGAGCTTGAACTTGAAGTCAGCGGGCTTAGCTAGAATAAAAGCCCACAACTACCAACAATGAAAAGCATCCTTTCTATGTGAGGGTCATCATCCCCACACTCCGCCAACCAAATCACGGTTTTTGGATTGGCCTGGGGAGGTCGAGCCGGTTGGATGCCAAAAAACGCAATAATATTGTGATTCTGGCGAGGATTTCCGGCATAATTCGTGCATGGGGAAATAAAAAGATTGATTCCGAGCGCCGGAGTCTTTTTCACGGGTCAAAAATCTCCAAAACATTTTGAGCTGGGAAGGAAGGATACGCGCGCATTCAGGTTAGAGGAATCAGGAGGGAAGAAATCAGGCTTCAAATCTCAGCACTGGATTGCAACCGGCCCTGATGGAAGTCCCTATAACGAGGTCCCGGAGCGCAACCAAGCCTGACGGAAGTCAAGGAAATCTGTTTGTTCATCTTCAGTACCTTAAACCAATTAAGTCCAAGGACCACAATTTACAATCCTATTTCAATATTCGGTTAAGCTTCTTATCTTGAGCGCACTTCAATCCTCTTGTAGCTCTTACAGGTCTGTTGAGCGCAAACACCATTGAATGCGAGAATATCCTACATATCCGTCTCTTCGCTTGCAGGTGTGTACGCGACGCGCGTCTCTCAACCTGATCAGGATTTTAACGAATTTTGGCTCCCGCGGGACGCTCTCCGTACTCACTATGGGGGGGGGGCAGCTTTGCTGCCAGCGCCAGGGTCAATTTCTGGCTCAGTTCACAATAAAGTCACTCTTGTCCGGCAAATTATTCTGGCTTTGATCTTGCTGGACCCAAAGGCATTCGCTATTTATCTTACTAATCATCCGGATTTTTTTTGGAATTTTAGCAGTACTCGGGTCATTAATCCCTGTCACTAGTTGACATTTTCAGAAACTTGATATCCTTCTTTGAATCATGAGTAACAAGAAAAATCACAAAACATCCGTATAATATTTTGATGTTAATATATATATTAAAGAAATTGTGAAGAAATTGTGAGTAAATTCGGGAATTTGTCTGGAACTGTTTGGGATCGTGTGGTTCGCATAAGTTCATTCCGGTCAGTGGGTCAATGAGAAAAGTCGCGATAAATAGCACCCAAACATTATTCACGAACCATCCTCAAGTTCAACTTCGTGTACTACAGGCGTATTTCAAGCCTAGTAAGAAGAAATCGCACTCAAATCAGGATGCAGATTTCAAGTGTCGATAAGTTTAACTCACCGTGTGCTTGACAGATTTTGGGGGTTTTAGGTTGCACTTAGAGATCTCCTTTCTGACTGAAACCCCAGACGTTTTGTCAACTTTTGAACGGATGGGAAGAAACGGGAAGACTTACCGTTGCCTCGCTCATCACAACACACTGCTCGTATGGAACGTGGCCATCCGTATTTTGGATTGCAAGGACTTCCCGCTGATGATAAGGGGGCAAATATCCTGTTAGCTTGGAATCAAGAGGCCGGTGTTTGAAGTGATAATCTTGTCTTGAGAGTAAGGTCCACCAATCTCTGGGTTTAATCCCTCAAGAATCGGGTTAGTTGGATTTGGGACCATACTTTTTTGAGTTCGCATAATGGCACCACCACAACTCAACCTTATATACACTCAAGTGAGACATTTATCTTTTCAGTCCCTCCCTGATACTTTAAGGGCGGGAAAGAATATCTCCCTTACACAGAGGAATTGATACATTGGTAGGAAAGGATAGAGAGGAGCTGTAGATGTTGAGAATGAAGATATTGAAGTTTGAGCCACAATGACTCACGAATTCCTCTCGCTTGTAACCCCGCATACAGACTGATAGTTCCAAAAAACAGGATAAGGCTGCAAAGACCAAAGGTCCGCATGATGATGATTTTGGTTTTTAGGAGTTAATTGGTGATGTGGGTAGTCAAAGTCGATTGTGAGGGAAGCTTTCTTCTGGTGGTCGTGGGACTCCAGTTGATGCCTGGTGTTGTTAGCTTTTATATCAAGTGGATTGCTTGTGCAAAGTGGAGCTGAACTGAGGATTGAAATGGTGTGGCCAATTGAATTTATAGGCTCAATGGTTTCTGCTTCGGTCACACAATTGCTGTGAAAGTGGCAGGCAGTGGCTGAGGCTCATTGGTTTTTGCAAGAAAGAAAACGTCATGATCATTTTTACTCGTCAGCTGACGCCGCCGCCATTGCCGGGCCATCATATCCTCCGGCGCCCGGAAGGTCTTTGGCCCATTTCCGTTCCCCCATAAATCAATCAACCGACATCACGATAAGCCACGGCGCATTGTTCCACACGACTCAACTCATGCAAGAAAGTAAAAATATTTGGGTTCAGCCAGAATTTATATACAATCAAAGTTCACATAAAAGAAATGCTAAATGCCCTTTGCACCTTGTTGTACGGGGGACATCATCTTCGCAATCCGCCAAACCCAATCAAGGTCTTGGAATTGGCCTGGGGAGATTGGACTTGTGGTCTGATTTCGAAAAGTTGAGTGAGAGTGATTGGCAGTGAAAAGACCATAGATATTGTGATTTTTGCAAGCATTTCTAGGGATGAGCCCTGGAAGGAGGCAAATATCCTGGATCTCACCTGTGATTTTTCTGTCCGTGAGTCCGTGACCCATTTATTTCCATTGCCTCATGACTGCTTTTTTTTTCAGCGGCGTGGAAAAAATAGGCGACGTCCTGGGACGGATACCCAAGCAATGATATCCGGCCGTGACTCGGTACGGATCGCACCCGAGCCTCACAGAGGTCCGTCCGAGGGTGTCGGGTTCGGATCGGAACCCCGCAAGTTGTGACTCTCCAAATCGTCCACGGCTATCTTACTCTGACTTGAATGATATCAACAAACAACACACATCAACTCGAAGAAAAAATAACCTGACAAAAGTGATTAGCAAGTTCGATTCAGATGCAAGGAACCTCGCCCTTGAACCCATTTGCTCACCCACCAGATCAATCCAACTCAAGTCAGCAACCACCACCTTCTCACCAAAGAAATTGGAATAACAACCATCAAAATCGGCGCGGACAGCACCATCAACCGTATCGCTCCCAGAAGGTCTGTTCTTTCTTTCACCGGGAGGTATGAATGTGAAAAAGAGTTCAAATCGACCGCTGATCTGTCTCATTGTAGAATCCTCGGATGCATAACACGTTCAACAAAAACTCGCAGAGACAGAATTCTCATCATAATAATCAACAACTTAACAGAGGAGGAAATGAAACATGGTTCAAGACTTCAATGCTTCAAGACCCTTGGCTACCGCTCTATCACAAATAGATCCCATACTTTGTGAACCACCGCTCAAACTATATCACCATCAATCAACTTGATTTCCTACTGACTCTGTGCATTGATGTTTTGTGCGATGGCTCTAGTAGATTAAATCACTCATATGTAAAAAAAAATGAAAAACGGATGATGTTTTTCGATTTCTCCTGTGTTTTGTAGTTGTTGCCGTCATGCAATCCAGTCTATGTACAGCTCGTTTACGTTAATTATCATTCGAGCTTTCCAACATTGGCCTTGATAACAGTCTGAATCCCATTCGCCATTTGAGTAAGGAGAATATCGTACCATTCAGACCATGCCAATTATTACGTATACAACGGGAAGTCTAGCTTGATTTTCTCTATCAACGATCGACAGCCTTGTGATGGCTGAACAGCAACCACTGGGACTGATCGGCCACCATTTAGGGACGTTGGAGCTCATATGGGCAAAAAAATGAAGTGTAGTAAGATTTTGTTGTTCAAGGGAAATAAAACAACTCGGATGTCACCTTTTCGTAGTGTCCAGAAAGATGGACATGCGCTTCACTACCGAAACATAAGAAAGCTGACCTGGTATAATTCTTTGTAGGGCTTCTGCGTGGCAAGGGCCAAACCTTGGCGCTCCCGGAACTAGTAACGAGAATTTGTTGTAAGATAGTTCAGTCGAAGCTCCAGTGACGCAGATGTCATCCTGACTTTTGGAGGATCCTGGGGTACAGCAAATCTCCTAACTATTCCATTTGCCTACGCCCGAAACTTCTACCTTACGATCAGAAGGAGAATGCTTGTATATAATCATCGTAGGTTCTGTTGGTATCTAGTAGGAACTCCTATGAATGCGGTCTGCTTGGTGCCATGGCTTTTTAGGAGCAAAATTCCTGTACCCACGTGACAAAACATCTCCAGCAGACAAGCACGCACACAGGGCCGCTTAGAGGCTTGGCCGCATGGCACCGAAGCATGGCGCTTGGTTGCATTTTTTCCTAAGTGTCGATTGGATGTGGTCTTGGACAAGGTGGCAAATAAAGCTTACTGTGTGGAATACATGCGGTGATGTTCTTATGACCTTACTTATGGAATGCTAATGTTCAAAATTATCTCTGCCAATCAGGCGTTACTGGAACTGAATGCCTGCCCTTCACTATTGATCTTAAAAATAGTATGGATCTTCCTTGGTAATTCGGAAGCGTATGGGGCATCGTGCCACTATTATCACTGGTTGTCATTTTTCAGAAACTGGATCATTGTCTTTGAATCACTGGTAAAAAAAATACAAGACGCCTGGGAACTCGTTTCTTGGGGTTTGGTTTTCTCATCATCGTGGGCTCGGATTGGGATAGACAATGAGATAGGTTTCGTTCAATTTGGCCCTTCGTTTTTTATTAGGGCCCCTGTAATTGTTTAGAGCTGATTTTTTTTTGCCAGTGGGTCAATGAGCAAAGTCGTCAGGAATTGCGCCAAACAACTGTTCACGCACCATCCTCAAGATCAACTTCGAGGACCGCCGAAGTATATCAAGCCTGAAGAAAAAAAATCGAATTCAAATCAGGATGGAAATTTCAATTGGAGATGATGCGGTCAAGTTCAACTCACCATGCGCTTTACAGATGACAGGCCATCGTGGTGACAATCACGTCTCAAGCTTACTGAAAACCCACGTCTTTTGTCAGCTTCGGACGAATGGGAAGGAGAGGGCCGACTTACTTCTACCATTCTCACAACACCTTGCTTGCATATTCGGCGGCAAGCCTGGGCAGTAAGGGTTGTCTGAAGAGAAGGAAACAAAGGTCTACATAGTTAGCTTGAATCCAGTCACAGTTTTGGCTTGAGAGTGAGGTCCCAATTCCTGGGTTCAAATCCAATCCATCAATTGGGTCCGTTGGATTTGGTCTCATTATGATAGTTCGCAAATTCCTCTACCACAGCTGAACATAGTTATACTCTCAGGTAAGACATTAGGAAGATTGACTCCCTTACACGATACGTTTGTGGTAGAGGTTAATAATGAAGATGATAAAACTTGAGTCACAGCTACTCACGCGATCGGGAGCCCCCTCGTTCTTCACAAGCTTTCGGATCTCTGTCGCAATTTATCAACTCCCCCGCGCATAGCTTGATAGTGCCAAAAAACAGGATCAGGCTTTGTAGCCCAAAGGTCCGCATGATGATGATTTTAGTTGTTCAGGATATAATCGATAGCGTGAGTAGTCAAAGCAGATTCTGATGGAAGGGGTTTAAGTGGTTTGGTGGGACTCAAGTGTGGACAGTGGCTAAAGCGCAGTGGTTTGTCAAAAAGAAAACGCCATGATGAAACTGACGCCGCCGCCACCGCTACCACCAGGTCATACATTATACATCCCCTCCGGCGCTCGGCGCTCGGCATCACTGAAGGTCTTCCGTTAACATTCATGAACCAATCAACCGACATCACGAAGGAGCATGTCGCAATAGCCATCACACGTCTCTACTCAAGCAAGATCTTGATGTTGAAATCGGCAGATTCAGCCGGACTCTACAGTGATTTTGATGATGCTTACAGAATTAATGCCGTTAAATTTAGGTGATGCAGAGTTTCAAAGAGCGGAGGTCATTTATGTACATGTAAAAACAATTGACGCATTGAGGATTTGCGTGTTCCGCGTCTAAATTCTTGTGGCGTAACCGTTTCTAAGTATAAACTATGGAACCTACAAATTCAAACTGGATCCCAAACCGTGATATAAATTAACAAAAATTGTATTGACTTGATTGAAATTGAAGTTTTTTCAGATTTCTGCCTTGGAGTTGACAAAATGACTGGCCATGTACCCTAACAAAGAATTCGAACTGTTTTGTTGGGGGGGGCAAAATGTTGATTAGATCGGTGCCAAAATCGCGTTATGAAGTTATCTTTCTGGATAAGGATGCAGAGTGGAGAACCGTAAACCACTACGTTCCCATGAATCGACAGCTGTTCCAACTTGAGTTTCTATCTGATCTTCACTTTGGAGAACCGGCCAATGGCCTACAGCGAAGCTCGTACTGGTGCCATGGCTTTTAGGAACGCAATTCCTGATTTGAACTTGACAAAACCTTTCTAGTGCAAGAGCACGCACAGGCCGCGCAGAGGCTTGGCGGCTTGGCACAGAAGCATGACGTTGAGTTGGTAATTGTTGTTAGTCCTGATTCATGGATGTGATCTTGCACTCTATGGTAAAGTAAAATGCATGTGATGATGCTCTACTAATGTAATGATAGGATGTGCTAATGCTACAGCCAAACCGAGAAAGCTTGCGTCTCGGTTGGCGGAAGATTCAAAAAAAAAAAAAAAAAAAAACCGACTGCAGTCGGAATTTTTGGAAGAATACAGCACCCTGTATGCCCATTTGCATACAGGGTTACTTCAGGGTAAAATCCCTATCTTTTTTCTCCCTCAGTTCCAGGTCATGAGAGTAAGACCATCGGGATCCTGAGGGAATGTTTAGTCAAACCGGCCCACTGACATCAAGGCCACCCATGCCCCTGCCCCCCTCGGGCTGGCTGGTTGGGTCCGGTGCGGTCCTGTCGCCGCTACCGGCAGGTATGTTGGAAGCTGTATGATGGCTGTATTCTTCCAAAGATTCCGACTGCAGTCGGGATTTTTTTTTTTTTTTCTGAATCTTCTGCCAACCGAGACGCAAGCTTTCTCGGTTTGGCTGTAATAAGAAATATTCTATAGTTGCAAAGTTTCAAAATAATCTTGAGTAGTTCAATACGTTCTTCGTTACACTGAACGCTTTGTTGGTTCGCTTGGATTGGGTGAAAAAGTCAAGACGTCATCACATGATGTCACTGTTTCATGGCTAGCTTTGAGGTACAGTGCCATAACCCTCTTTTGTGTAACACCGCACCTGCAAAATTATTTTTGAACTTTGAGCTGCATGTTGGTTGGCTCAAATAGGGCTACATACCCTTACTATACATTTTTGGGCTCTACAGAAGCAGTAGAACCCAAATATATAACCACAAGTCTGTAGGTGCAATAATAAAAAAGTTTGGGATTTATTTTTTCTAGGACTTGGAACAGCCACCCAGGGAGGTCATAGTATTGACTTCTGGGGGCTATTATGGACTTATGTATTATGTAGTATGCTTTTAGGGGTGCTATTTACGTAATATGTTAACAAAATAAAAAGAAAACCCAATACATAAGTTATCTGGCAATGATCTCTTAACAGATTTGGTGGCCCTTCTGACTCTCTGGCAACAAGCTGCTTTACTCACAACCATCTTTGGTGATTCAACTCCTCCTTGCATGAAAGTTGTAAAACATGAATTGGATTTCATCTTAATATGTATGTACTTTAGTAAAAAAATCCAATTTAAAAGTCAAGAAAGTCAAAGAAATGGTTGGAAGAAGCCAAAATTGCCAAAAAAAAGAAGGAAAAAGAGAAAAAAATGGTAAAACACAAAAAAAAACCTGAAAAAAACCCCTCAAATATTTGGAACACCCCCAGGGGTGTAGTACAAAAGAGGGTTAGGGCACTGTATGCCGGCCTGGAATGGCTAACCGAGGCAGGCCGGCATCCTCAAACGGACAGCATGTCCGATTTTACCAAGGATGTTAATGTTTGTCTTCCCCTGCATTTGGAACAGTATGAACCTTCAGGATGGACGTTGCGCCATCAAAGTGGGTATAATGCTGCCTACATATTCATGTATGAAGAAGCATCAAGGGAGATTCGGGTGCAGCATGAGTGCTTCCAATTCAACTTTCTTCATCCTTGCTTCTGCTCATGCGTTGGTTGCATTCGAGTTTTCCAAGCGAAATGACTAATGACGAGTGTGCCATTTTTTTGAGGTGAACAGAACACGCACAGGTCACAAGCTCAGTGTTGCTTCTCGGAAGGTGAAGAGTGAAGGCCTCAGTTACCCCTTCGAAGTTCCTTCAACTGGCCGTATTACATATCCGTGACCGCTTGATCCGTGTTGAACCGTCGAAGTTGAGCCCGTCCATCTGCTCGACTCATAAAGTATAAAAAGCTCGGCGGCGTAAATGCCACCGCTCCAGCTCATCCTCTGACCCACTCGCCTCATCAACCAAACTTGCAGCCACGCACTGGTCCGTTCTTGCAGGCTCAAGAAGCTGACAAGCGGACTTGAAGCTAAATTGGTTTTCCTGATTCTCACCCATAGGGCGCCTGCGACGTGGGACTAGCGAATTAAATATTGCAGAGTAGCACCAATCCAGTCTAAAACAGTCTAAGCCCAACCATTGACCTCCCTGGATTTACCCTTGAGCTGGTCCATGCGTTATGTGACATATCATTCAGCCGGCTTTCATTTTCGTAGCTTATCAGCAGACGCACTTTGGGCAACTCTCCTCGATAAATAAATTTCCCAAGCAGCCCTTTCTCATTCTTCCTTATCATCATTACTATACATTATACATACTTAACACGGGACGCAGTGTTCCTCTCCTCATAGTCCGGCTTCAAGTCTCTCTTTCTCCCTGCCTCTCTTAGTCTCCCGCTGACTTGCATTCTACGGAACCTCGCAAAGCAAAATTCTAACCCAACTCTCAAACCACGGTGCGTTCTCAGTCACCCTTGTTATACTGAACAACTCTGGCTAACTTCTTGCGTATCATTTCCCCTCTTCGGTCTGGAGCTCCTATCAGTTCATTCTTTGTTACCCCTTCATATCACGTCCTGATGGTTTCATCCGACTCCAAAGCTGCCGCCGTAGCTTTTAACCGCCGGATCACCTCGAAGTTGATCCTCGTCACTCTTTGCAGCTCCTTCGTCACCAGCACAGCGGCCCACGAATCTCATGAGTTTTGGGGTCGTCAAGCCCCTGCTGCACCAGTTGCATCTGCTGCAGCTGCTCTGCCTACAACGATGCCGGTACCAACCCCCGTCACTTCTTCACCGGGAGATCTTCAAACGTTAAACTATCCTCCAATTATGAAATCCATGGCTCCTTCAACTATGACTGCTCTTCCGGCCACTTACACTGCGGGAACCGCTTCTCCTATTCGTGGCGCTCCTCCGCTACCTTCAACTAACTTGAACGTTGCGTTGTATCCAGCATTGGATCGTCTTCCTCCTCTAGATTCTCCATTAGTCAAAGAATGGATGAGCAAAATTGATTGGAGCAAGGCCCCAACGAGCAATCCTACCGGCTTAGGTGGCTGTATGAACGCCACCAACGCAGATGCCGTAGCCAAGTCCGGGAAGGACGAGAACTGCTGGTGGACCTGTGGTGGCTGCACGCGACCCACAGATATCGTCTCCTGCCCCGACAAGGCCACCTGGGGTGCTAGTTTTGACGATGGGCCTTCGCCCGACACCCCGACTTTGTTGAACTACTTGGACCAACAAAAGCTTAAGACCACGTTCTTCGTGGTTGGATCAAGAGTTCTCAGTCGACCCGCAATGTTGCAGTACGAGTACCAATCAGGACATCAGATATCGTAAGTTGTCGTCATCTCCTCCTTGTTTTTTTGGTACCCCACTAACTCAGCAGAATTGTTTGCGTAGCGTCCACACTTGGTCCCATCCTTACCTAACCACCCTCTCCAATGTGGAGATTGTCGCGGAGCTTGGTTGGTCAAAGAAAGTGATCAAAGATGTTTTGGGTGTTACGCCCAACACCATGCGTCCTCCTTACGGTGGTAAGTAATTTAGCTGTTTTGAACAATCTTGAAAGTCGGACGATTTATCTTCATCATTCACTCCCCAAACAGATATCGATGATCGTGTGCGCTTTATTGCCATGTCAATGGGGCTAACTCCTATCATCTGGACAACTGCACCTTCTGGACAAACCTTTGATACCCAGGGTGAGCTATGAATTCACTTACGAAAACTCAGCACCAAAACGTTGTCGAGCTGAACTCCGCGTCTGATCATGATTCAGATTGGAAAATCTCCACTGGGATCGTCACCCCCGCTCAAGTTTTGAAAAATTTCCAATCTATCATTGCCGGAGCTCCAGACCTTCCCCAAGGGTTCATTGGTGAGTTTATCTCAATCCACTCAACACACGAAGTTAGACATGCTCAAACTCGGTTGTATTGTTTGCAGTATTGGCACACGATCTCTACCCTCAAAGTGTTGCGCTTGCGGTGGAGTTTGTTTTACCAGCAGCAATCGCTGCTGGAAACTTGACCATCGAGCCGATCATCACCTGTTTGGGCAAGCCTCTCTCCGAGGGCTACATCGAAACCGCAAACGGTGGCAACGCTTCTTCATCCCCAACTTCCAGACGCGAAACCTCTCAAACCTCAGTCAACGCGCCTTCAAAGGCTGCTAACGCTGCCAAACCTTCGATCTCTATTAGCTCTCAAAACACCCGAGACTTAGTTATTTTTGTTTCTGCAGCCGCATTAGCTATACTTAATGTATACTAAACTCAACGAGTTTACTTGACGCATTTTTTATATCTTATTTTATTTCATTTGTTTTTTTCTTCGCATCTGTCAAAGCCAGCTCG